AATACACAAAACATATAATACAACATATAAAACGATCATTACACTCCACCCATCAAACAATTCTACATTGTCTAATTCTTCAACAATTTATCTCTCCTTTCCCTAATTATCCCCGTCTATATAATCCTGAAAGGATAATCAGGCCGAACCATTACCCATTTTTTCCTATTGTCGGCACCTTTCACCTCAAAAAGTCGACTCCTCGTAGAAAAATTGAATTATATCCTTACTTCCTTCCCCACTCCTTCAAAATCCAACATCGATAAACCAAAAACGATATCTCACTGGCACTCTCAAAACGACACATCTACATAGAAAACACACACTTTGAGTGAGTAGAAATACTTTGATTAAATCCATTATGTTCAGTAGTCTAATTGGCCAAATTACTTCTTTCAATCAATTATTATTTTTATGTAAGGTCTCGGTTGAAATGAAACGTTGATTAAACATAAAATGTCTATCTATTTTTTATGTAATCCATTATATTTCTTTGTCTGATTATCCAAATAACTTCTTTCAATTAATTAATCTTTTTATGTAAGGTATTGGTTAAAACAAATTTTTAAAATTTTCGTTTCAACCAATAGCTTACATAAAAAGTTTAATTAATTGAAAGAAGTTATTTGGTCAATCAGACCACGAAATATAACGGATATATAATAATTTTTCTCTCAACCAAACAACCTTCTCAAACAACATATCAACCTCAGATGAAAAGAATAATTAATTGGAAAGATCGAAACGTTTGCACGACAAAGAAAATAGTTTTCTAAACCCAAATCACACCAGACCGCATCTCACGGTTTCAAAAAAATCAGTATAAATAAAATAAAAACATCTAATATTTTTTTCTATATTTTTTTACTTTTTTTAATTGCCCTGATGATTACAACCGAAATACAATAGCAGCTTACCTTGTCTATTCAATATTTATGATTATTATTGCAGTGAAAAGCTCACACGTTCGCATCTTTGTAATTTTATATATATTGATATTTGTGGTTGAAGGGTGTTGGGAGCCATTAGACGCAGCCGGCACCGCGTAATGAGAGAAGAGAGTTTTCATTTGGCCATGTTTAATACAGCCTCCCCATATAATGGGAGAATACTTAAAAGACGGATAGCTCTCATAATCTCACTCTAGACTCCGAACAGATTACCGATCCAGCGCAATATACCTTAAACGTTGTGAGACCCCCGACCCGACGTCCGCTGCCATCTTAACCCCGCGTCTGAATCGTGTTTCATTACGTTTTAACACAATTTGTTATTTAAAGGATTTTTTTATGACCTTAGACAAAGCCAGTTGGTCAGAGACTGAATAAGCCTCGACGGCTCCCAAGCCACGCACCTGCCGCCGCCGGAATCTCCTGAAAGGAACAAAGCGTACAAAACAAAAGGCTAAAATTGGAACAGGTAACATTATAATGAAATTTGACTCTTGCATATGAAGTCATACATAATTCTATAGATTGCTGTACTTCCTGTTCTTAAGAGAGTCCCCAGATTGAAGGGTGATATCCTTCCAAAGCTTGAAGCATATCTCCTCTCTGCAGTTCGAATTTTTTGCAGCTCGTCATAATGTGGTTGACATCTTCTAGTTCGGCGCAGGGTTCACATTTTGGGAAAACCCTACACCCAATCTTGTGCAGATAGGCGCCACATATGGCTATGTCCAGTACGGAGACGCAACATTGTGGAGACGAAGGCTTTACCCTTTCTAACACCCGTTTCTGCAAACACGGTTTCCTTCTTAGGATGGGGAATAGGCAGGTGTAAGATTTTCCCACAGAAGATGCAAGATAAGCCGTTTGCCAGTTTTTTGCAAGTTTTTTTATTTGTATTGTTTTTGTAGTCGCTTGCTGAGATGGGTACGTCCAGGGGGAAGTCTCCCGGGGCGGACTTCGCCAGTTTATCTATCGTCTCGTTATGCCGAACGAGTGCAATTCATAGAGTCCTTACAACCTCGACAAGGATAAATTCGAATTTATTGTTGACGGAGAAGTCCTTTAGCTGCTTTACTGTGTTCGGTCTATCCGTTAGAATACATATTTTACGCGACTCTAGGACTGGTGCGTACTCTAGAGCTTTCAGGATGGCGACCACTTCAGCCGAATAGACTGAGTATTGCCTAGGCTAGGAAAACCGCCCTTTTCTATTGTTTACCGGGAAAAGTCTTCAACTCAAGACAAGAAATGACCCGGCGATTTACATTGTTGACTTCTGCAGGCAGTTGATCTCTGTGGAACTGGAACCGAATAATATCCATTCTTACCGCATTGGGAGTCGAATCAAGGAAGGTCCTTTTAAAAAATTGAAAGGCCCTCAAAGGAACAGGTTTCTACGTACATGACCTCCCATTTGTATGAGGCGGAACAGAACAAAACACCTTGCCCTCAGGAAGTCTATCATCATTGCGGACAGCTTGAAATTTGAGAATCACACCTTCAGGTGGTCTGGTTTGAAATGGGGTGCTAAAAACGGTGTATTAATCCTTAATGAACTTGTAAATAGTAACTTTTCGATCACTGTTCAAACTTTGTTGTCAAATTCTTCTGCAATGGATCCGAACGCTGGCGAGGCTGATTTCTGAGATTCTGTTCCAGTCTGTCGCCAGGCATTAATTCAGTAAAAATATATAAGTTCTAATTCTCTTAATATAATGTGCTACAATTTTAATGTTCTTGGTTCTAAATTTAGTAACTTATTATATTTAAAAATTTTAAAATTCTTTGTTATTTTCATTGAATTAGAAACATTCATTACGGATACAATTCCAAGAATTTGTGAGACTTTTTAAGAATTATAATTCAAAGTGGCTACCAGGACAAAAAAGTTCTAACTTTGGGAGAACTAAAGGTGGTCCTCTATATACTTTCAAGAGGAATATTATGGGTCACAATATTGATTTTACTAATGCTTCTGGTACCGTTATGATTTATGTACATACAGTCGTCACCCAATTGTACGTGCTTCCGGTTTATTTAAACCTTTCTTCCCGGGATCTAGATTTCTTTAATTTAAACAAACTTATTTCAGAAAATGATTTCCTGAACTATTCCTGAATATATAAAAAATATTAAATTCCTCCTATACACATATATACAAAAACTGAACCAAAATTGAACTTTATTTTATTCTTTTCTTGCAACCATCATCCGACAGACGGTATTAAACCATGTTTAATACATATGGTGTTTAGTGAACATTAGTTAATGATTATTTGGAGATCGTGAGATTCGATCTGGTGTGACGTAGGTTTTAGAAAAACATTTTCTTTATCGTGCCAACGTTTCGATCTTTATTGAGATTATCATCAGGACTCAAAGTCTTCTTTTGTCGTTTGTCTTCTTAAGCCATTCTTGCGTGTCGTGTTGAGAGTGCCCCATTGGGCCCACAATTACACAGAAGACAAACACTTTGAGCCCTGAGGATGATCTCAATAAAGATCGAAACGTTGGCACGATAAAGAAAATGTTTTTCTGAAACTTTCATCACACCAGACCGCATCTCACGATTTCGGAATAATTATCGACTAATGGTCACTAATCACCACACATTTATTAATAAATTATACCAAGCGTAGAATTTCGAGATATGACAACCAATAATCATTTACGGTTCGTATCAAATTTATACATAAAACGAAAAATTGCTTAAAATGTAAAACTAGGGTGTTGTACATTTTGTAATTGATTTTTTTTTCACTTTTTTCCTACGTTGGAGCACATAAAATAAATAAANTGAGTTTTAGGTCAATTCTATGTTATAGGGGTATTTTTTTATGTTAAGACTTATTATGTTTGGTTTTTTGTGCTATTCTTCTATAAATATTAACATTAGGTTTGCATTAATTTTTGGTATTTTTAATTTTTTTTGTTTTATTGTCTTCTGTGTAATTGTGGGCCCAATGGGGCACTGTCAACACAACACACGAATGACACATCTTCACAGAAAACAAACACTTTGAGCCCTGAAGATGATCTCAATAAAGATCCAAACGTTGGCACGATAAAGAAAATGTTTTTTTCAAACCATCATCACACCAGACCGCATCTCACGATCTTCAAATAATCACGTGTAATACTTTTGATTTTCTTTCTATTATACAGCGTACTAATGTAAATAAAAGTATCTCTATCTATCTATCTAATATTTAAAAGACGGATAGCTCTCATAATCTCACTCTAGTCTCCGATCAGATTACAGGTAATCTGATCCAGCGCAAATACCTTCAACTTTGTGAGACCCCCAGCCCAACGTCCGCTGCCTTTCTTAACCCCGCGTCTGAATCGTGTTTCATTACGTTTTAATTTCACGCCCTTGATTCTTAGCTGTGCATAAACGCATTCAGGTTAAAATTGTTGTTTTAAGTTTTATCGGTTGACGCCGTTGGCTCATCTCAAAACATAAAACAAAAGTCTCGGCCCTTTTAACATAAAATCCCTGATTAGAGCTTTTGTCTATTTGAAATAAGGGGTAAATATCTGATGCGACAGACTCTAAATGGCGCGAGAAATGTTCAGTTTATCTGTCACTTAAAAGGAATCGAAGAACAAACTGAACGACTAACTGAACTGAGGACGGAAAAAACGGATAAAGTCAAAAGAATACAGAGGTGTGGCTACGTTTTTTTTTTTTTTTTTTTTTTTACTGATCTGGATTCAACGGTTGCTAGTTGGTATACAGTTCAATTAATCTTTTTGATCATCCTATCGCATTTAAGAAAAATGATAGGTAATCTCAGCCTGTATTGACCTAAGAAGATTAAAATGTACTGAAAGCCGAGCTGCAGCTAGAGTTTGTTTTTCCGGTTCGGACTTAGGTAAACTGATGCTCAGTTCAGTTGATCTTCCGATTCCGGAAATTCGTTGCGTTTGGTTTATGTAATTCTTTGATATCGAAACAAATACAAACGCAACAGCTAAAACTGAACTAAAACTTAATTTATATCTATATATGAAAATTCAAATTCATTTTATTCTTCTTTTTTTCAGGTTGCTTGGATGCACTTTGAGCAGTCGGCAATTTTGGCAGTTCATTCTCACGTGATAACGAGAAACCCGCGGATCACTGTGTCTCACGAGAATCACAAAACATGGAACCTTCATATCGCAGATGTCAGGGAGGAAGACGGCGGAACGTACATGTGCCAGATCAACACCGCCACCGCCAAAACTCAACTCGGATACCTAAATGTTGTCGGTAAGTTAAAAACAATTATTCCAAAACACAGGATTAAATGTCTTGACATGGGTTCACATAAACTTTTACAATTCGTTGATACCGTAGCACTTTGAATTCAAACATTGTGAATTTTTTTACGCTAAATGTCAGATCAGTTCTGTAGGTAACTACAATTAAAGGTCTGAACTGAAAAATTTATATGATAAATATGTTGTCCTAGCATCTCCCTTTTTATTATTACACATAAAATGCCAATTTCCAGTGTGAAACTCGCTGATTTTCTTTCAGGAAACGGGAAAAAAGCCTAATGTAAAAAATGAGTTGATGTCCTTAGAATGCTGTAAGTTGGTTTTATCAAATAATTACTTTTTAATTATTATAAAAAGCACATTTCCTATCTCACAACACAGTTTTTATAAGTTAGTTAAAAAGTACAAATACAAGGCATTGTATGAAACCAATGCTAGGAAACGTTAATAGAAATTTTACGACCAGGGTATGAAAGAAGAAAGAAAGAAAAAATATTGAACAATATTAAATCCATTAGGGTTCGTAGTCCGATTGATCAATTAACTTTTTTCAATTAAATAATCTTTATGACAGGTATTGGTTGAGAGAAAAAAAAGTCTCCGTCACGAGCGGGATTCGAACCCACGACCTTCGGCTAAATACGACGCTGCTCTACCACTTGCGCTATCGTGATTTCGGTCCCCTCGGACACTAACTTCCCATTTTAACCTACAACCTTTCGAATTTGCCCTCCTTTTTGCCATTTTTCAAATGTCGTGTAATCTATTCGATTCTCGGCGACAAATGAAATGGTGACCGAGTGGCTAGAAGTCACGATAGCTCAAGTGGCGTATTTGGCCGAAGGTCGTGGGTTCGAATCCCGCTCGTGACACTGGCTTTTTAATCTCAACCAATACTTTTCATAATGATTAATTAATTGAACAATATCATAAAGTTGAAGTGCTGCATTTAGGAATTTATTAAGTATCAGGCAAAGGGAATGAAAGTTGTGTTCATCACGCGGTTTGACGTTTAAGCCTAGCCACTGTAGACTCAAATTGAAAAATCTACATTATATGTATAAAAAATAACAAAAACAAAAAAGTAAAATAGGCCAAATAAAATACCGTGGTAATTAGATTCAAATAACTTGTTTATCAAGACACAAAGTTGATAATTATTTTCTACACCACAAAAAAACCCATAGATACAAATTTTAATAAGATCAAAAAATATTTTTTCACTCAAATTGCCCCTGATTTTTATTACAAAAAACACGAAAATAGATAACTTAGAAACGACTTTTGTAAGTATGCCGGGTTCGATTGCAGGGCCGCTGGATTCGAACCCGGGACCTTTACATTACAGTGTTGAGCGCCGTTGTCATCGCCTAAACCGTTGCGGCCACCGACGCCCCTAGAAACGACTTTATCGATGAAATTTTACACGTGTTCAAAGCTTTATAAAATACATGTAACGATTTAAACATGGTCCATCTATTCTCCCTGGTTTGTGTAGAATAGTGTACAGAACCCAATGAAATGAGCCATGTCGATGAATTCAGGATGCGTTTCAGAAACCATTGATATCTAAAAAATCATGGAAATCAAGGTAAAATATATTTTTAAGGGACGTTCCTTCAGATTTCTTTTTCTATAACCAACTCTTAATGGTAACTCCATCAATCTGACGATGTCTTTAAAACATTTTTTATAGTCAAGTCCTAAACATAACTCATTTATTGACTTAGGTTTAGTATTTTTAGATGTGTATATGAACTGAAAGGTAAAACAGTAGTTTATTTTAGTAAATATTTATAATCGTTGTTTATTGGACATTTTTAAAGAAAAATATAAGTTATCGCTAAGTAATAAAAAATTAAACAGAGTAAAAACAATTTTACTAAAAATGGAAACATTGAAGAAAATCTATTCGGTTTCGTGGTCCAAATAAATTCTTTTTATCTCAACCAAAACCTTAATTAAAACGATTAATTAATTGAAGAAAATATTCGATTCAGCATGGAGTATTTTTTATTAAAAATAAAATCGTCGCCAATTAGAAGAGTATCAATGTACGGCGCGGCTGTTAGGGAACCCCTCAATGTAGAACAGGTTGTACGAACTTCCGTAGAAATGCCTGCATAAACCATAACAACCTAATTGATCTTTTCAAAAACAAATTTTTTGGTCTATTTTACTGATAGGGTATTTTCTTTTTATGTATCTAGTCTCATTTGATTAGATCCTTTATATTATCTTCTTATCCTCAGCGAAAAAAATAGCAAGCCTTCTTATATGCAGGGGTGGTCAGCTTGTGTTAAAAAAATTTCTGTGACAGTACATCTAAAGTGGAGTAGAAGGCCGTAAACCTGACGATTTTATCTCAATCCGTTCAAAATTTACGATTTTTTAGTGTTTATTTAATAAAAACAAGTTTCTTTACATAAAACCTGAATTTTCTTTACTCTAACGTAACTTTTCCCAACTTTCGACTCCATTTTTAGAAATTTGTAGTGTTTGGTGGCGGTTAGTCAATGATTAATCCGACATCGTGAGATGCGGTCTGGTATGATGTGGGTTTAGAAAATCATTGTCTTTATCGCGCCAACGTTTCGATCTTTATTGAGATCATCCTCAGGGTCTAGTATATATAAACATTGTTTAAATTTTACAAATACATGTCGGATGTGGGGCAAAAAATGATGAATTTATACAATACTAGAAAATTTTAGATTAAAAAAATAATAAATTTATACAATGAAGAAAATTGAAGATTAAAAATAATGAATTTATACAATGCTATACTTTAATCTACAATTTTCTAGCAATGTATAAATTTATTATGTTTTAATCTACAATTTTCTAGCAATGTATAAATTTATTATTTTTTAATCTAAAATTTTCTAGCATTGTATGAATTCATTTTTTTTATCTAAAATTTTCTAGTATTGCTTAAATTCATTTTTTTCCACATCCTACATTATTTGTCAGATTTAAACAATGCTATAAATCCCAGGCCTGAAGATGATCTCAATAATGCTCGAAACGTTGCAGGATAAAGATGATGTTTTTCTAAAACCTACGTCACAACAGACCCATCTCACGATCTCCGAGTAACCATTTTTAGATTTAGCTCGAAACTTCGTTTTAGGTTAATTTATTTTTTTCTAAAAATGTACATACAAAATAACTGCACAAACGTCACGAAATTTGCGAAATGGTACTTTTGGATCAATTTATTTAAATAGAAGCTCATTTACTTGAGATTTTGAAAAATATCAAACCAGCTAAAAACGTCAACATTTTATGAGCTATCCAACGCTCTATTCGAAACCTCGATTATTTTGATTTTTATGATGGGCAATTTCATTTGGAATTCGGGAAAACGTGGTCCGGGACGTCTCCTGGGTATTAAATGCATGGATGTTGTTTGTTCAGTTTGCAAAAAATATTTTTTCGGCCTACTGTACTGGTGACTTACGATTTTTGTAACTTTTGAAATACATATATTTCTGTTCCTGCATATTATTTTCTTATCCTAAGGAAAAATAAAAAATCTACTCATATGTAATAACACTGAAATACATGCACAACAAGGCAGAAAGCCATATTGAAAAAAATGTAAATAGTTTTTTAAAAAAATTCTCGGCTCCTAGAGTCCATTGGCAAGCACGCTCGGACTTACGTATAATTTTGTTGTACCTATAAAAAAAGGTTAAGGATTCATTGAAACAGTGATTCCACGTCTATAGTCTCCCCATGTAAGCTCAAAAAAGCTCGGATGACCGCCCTGAATATTGTCACCTTGACATTCCAAAAAATGATTCTCGCCAAACGCCTTCATCCAAACAAAATTATCTCTATATTTGCCAATTACCTTTCCTCTAATAGTTAAACAAAAGAGAGCCTTGCTGTCTCAAGATATTTGTATTCGTTGATAGTTAATATTTCTTCTCAATCGTCAGTACAATATCAGGATTCCTTACCCATAAAATGATAAATTTGGAGTTCAAAAAATGTAAGGTAGTTGTGTACTGAACTCTTAAGCATCTGCTACAATATTTGAAGTATTTTCAATTGTTATTAGATTGTAAGAAAAAACGTTTTTCGACCGAGAAATGGAAAAATGTTACTCAAAGGTCAGTGAACAAATATAACATTTTCCTTTTCTTTCTTTTACATAGTTAAGTATCCTAAGTGACTCGAGTTTTCCTCGCAAGAAAAGGTCCAAGGAATACAAATTGAATAATCTAATTTTGCCCAAAGAGAATGGAAAAAAGAGTCGGAGGGTTAGAGACGATGAAAAACAAATTAGCTAATAAAACATTTTTCTGCTAAAGGAAGATAAACAATGAAGCTGTAACAAGGGGAAGTCATAACTGAGGGAATTCCTTTCAACAATACAAACGTTTCGCCAATTCAAATTGGTTGAGTTGCCGGGAAAGACGTGTGGAAAAAGTCAAATAATAGCCATTGTTTGAAATCAGGTTAGGGAAGTTTGTAATTTGGCTGTTTGGAGGTGGAGAGAGGACTTCCATTCAGACTTTGATTCATAGAATTAATATGAGGGTGCAATGGCAAGTTGTGGCCGTTTGTTACCCTCTTTGTTCATCCCCCTTCCAGACGACCAGAAACCCCTCTCTATTAGTCCAAGTATTTCAGATAGTTCAACTACTTCAAATCTCAATATGTTATTAGAGTTTAGATATATATTGTCATAGTTTCTACCATGGTTATGGATTATGATCCATTTCATTACCATTCAAACAATTCGGGTTTTCGATCTAAATTTATCTCGTCTCGTTATTGAAGAAGAACTTATATTCGTCGAGACTTACTTACAAAACGAACTACTGACAAGGCGAGTCTACTTACGAGGTATCGCAGATTTCAATGAAACTTTTGTTGAATGATACTAGGTCGAAAAATATTACACACGTTCCGAACATTCTTCCCAACAAGCCCTACAAGACTAAATTTTTTTTATATATAATAAGGTTTTCGGTA